GGGATGACAGGACTGTGATTACAGTAACATACAAACACACACACTAGAGGGGCTGCGTGTTAACAGTAACACACACACACACACACACACACACACACAGAGGGTCACGTGATGACAGTAACACGAACGTTTGTTCCTATTGGTGGGAAATGCTCACAGAGCTGCCACAGTAACTGGATGCACGCTATCCCACCACAGCCGCCCCCTCCTGCCGGGAATTGGAATCATACTGAGCATCTTCCACAGTCTGCTCAATTTCTATGCTTCTTGCCGCCCCCCCCATCTTTCATGGAAACAGCTCAGTATTTCTTTTCACCTGATCTAAAGCGTCACCACTTGGATTCTCTGAGTCTTTAAATGTCTTTATTGTTATTCCTAATGCTTACCTCTACATTTTATCACGCCTTTATCTGTGTATTGGTGACACCGACCACCACGAGGCTCCATGCACAGGCACCTTATTCTTGACCGTGTATCCTCCCAGCCCCCAGATGTGTGACCAGCCTACTTTAAGGAATGTATCTGTGGAAACTCTGTATGTCCACAGCCTTGCCCTCACTGAGACTCAGTCACTGCCTCAGTGGCGGGGGGAAGCATAGCTGTGACTACAGACGTTTCCCTTTCTCCTGAAACCTCGGGCTTACCGATGCAACCGTTCCTAGACAAATGTCCTACCTTAACAACTCCCTGATGCAATTCCTCCAACCTTCCAGCGCCTGCCCGCTCATCTCTAAAAGGCAGTACTAATGCCTTCCTGCTGGGGTTTCTAGGAGTTAACGCAGTAGGTCTGGCTGCGAATAATGAACTCAGTAAATTCTCCTGCCAGCAAGTGCGGGAGACCCTCTAACAGCACACATATATCACCAGGTGATGATGATGCTAACAGACAAAACGCTGCCTCTATGAGAGCCTCCCAGCAATTCACAGATGAATTATGAACATCAAGGCCTTGGAGTCCAGGGGTGGCGCTGTAGTTCATTTGAACCGCAAAGTCGGCAGTTCAAGCTCACCAGCCACTCCTCAGAAACCCTATACAGGGTCACTTTTGGGCAGAACCAACTCGACAACACTTAACAACTATAACAACAGATCAAGGCCTTGGTCATGAACGACATCATGTCTTCTACCTCAAACACCAGCTTGGCCATCTCTTCTTTGTCAGAGATGTGTCCTTCTGCCAAGATGCAGTCCCTCGTCTGTCCTCTAGACCTTCATTCATCTGCACCAGGTTCTCATGAGCTCGGAACGTACACAAGGGTGTTGACTGTCTGGGAAATCTTCCACTTGGTCCAACTGTTACCTCTTCAGAGTGCCTGTTTTTTCTAATTAAAGGTTAGTTGTATCGGGTTCATAGTCAGAAGTATGTGGCTGACTGCTCCTTTCACTCCCCAACTCCTAGAAAACAGGCTTCGCTTCTTAGCACACCAGCAGACTTTCTCTCAGAAGTCACACAATTCTTGGGGCTTCTTCAGTTCTCTTGCTCCATGATGTGTCTTTGACATTGAGGTCAGACGATGACAGTGAGAACACATGACCTTATTAACCCTTCCAGAGACGTCCAGTTGCTGTTCTTCCCTGGGTTCCAGACACGAGAACATGGGCTCAGCATGTCTCATGACTTGCCCAAAGTGACATGGTGTGCTGTGACTCTGACCCCGAATTAACTTGTAAGTCAATGCTCTAACAAGAGTTGTACTATTCTCAGTATTTTTCCAGTTGTTGGTTTTTTTTTTTTTTGTATTATAAAAGTAATATGTGATAAAGCAAAAGCGAATAGATATATGTACACCAGTGTTTATAGTAGCACTATGCAAGTTCAGTGGTTCAAGCTCACCAACTGCTCCTTGGAAACCCTATACAGGGTAGCTATGGGTCTGAACAAGAATAATTCACAATAGTAAAAAGATGGAGACAGCCTAAGTGCCCATCAATGGAAGAATGGATAAACAAACTTTGGAACATAAACACAATGGAATACTATGTTACCTTGAAGATTAACAAGGAAGCTGCAAGCCACCGTATAACATGGATGACCCTTGAAGACTTTATGCTGAGTGAAATTAGTCAGTCACAAAAGGAGAAATATTGCAAAAGACCATTATTGTAAAAGCTTAAGAACAGATACCTATACTAAAATGAAAAAAAAAGTAATATGTGAATGGGGGGGGGGAGGACTAAACTACAGTATTAAAAAGGAAAAATGAAAGTGTTCAATTATGAATTGTGTCCCCCCAAACTATAAAGTGTAACTTCTAACCCCATTTGGGGTTGTCTTTGTTATGATCATGAGGCACAATTCCTGCAGGGGGCATCTCTTACAAGATAGAAAACGAGCAACTGAAGGAGCAACTGAAGGAAGCAGTTGTTAGATGCTATTGAGTCAATTCTGACCCTTAGTGACCCCACGGACAAAACACGAACAAAACACCACCCACTCCTGTGACGTCTTCACAATCACTGCTACACCTGAGCTCACTGTTGTTACTACTGGGCCAGTTAATCTCTTTGGGGGTCTCCCTCTTTTTCACTGACCCTCTACTTTATCCAACATGATGTCCTGCTCCAGACACTGGTCCCTCCTGATAACATGTACAAAGTTTGAGAGACAAAGTCTGGCCATCTTGGCTTCTGAGGAGCATTTTGGTTGTACTTCTTCCAACACAGACTGTTTGTTCTTCTGGCAGTCCATGATATCTTTGGTCTTTAGGGTCTTTTCCAACAACATAACCCAAGTGCATCAATTCTTCTATGGTCTTCCTTATTCACTGTCCAATGTTCACATGCATGTGAGGTTACTGAAAATACCATGGCTTTGGTCAGGCGTACTTTAGTCCTCAAACTGATACCTTTGCTCTTGAACACTTTAAAGAGGTCTTGTATAACAGATTTGCCTAATGCAATACGTCATTTGATTTCTTGACTGCTGCTTCCATGAGTGTTGATGGTTGATCCGAGCAAAATGAAGTCTTTGACAATTTCAATCTTTTCTCCATTTATCATGATATTTATTGGTCCAGTGGTGAGGATTTTTGTTTTCTTTACATTGAGGTGCAACCCATACCGAAAACTGTGGTCTATGATCTTCATCAGGAAGTAGAGATGGGAAGATAATAGACACCATGGCCCTGAAGACCACCAAGGAGCCAACCAATAAAGAAAGAGAGAACAGCTGGTGCCCTGAACTTGGACTTCCAGCCTCCAGAACTGTGAGAAAATACATTTGTTTGTTAATGCTGTCCACTGGTTGTATTTCTGTTACAGCAGGACTGAAGAACAAAGGCATACACATTCTCCCTTCACTCTTGCATCCAACGATAATCCCTATTTACTCTTGGAGATGTTTCTTCCTGTCACATGTTCACATGGTGCTTTACTCTGGCTGCATATTATACCCAACCAGGAAGTCAGTAAGAAATACTGAGAGCTGGATCCCAGCCTACCAAGAATAAGACTCTGTGGGTAGAGGCAGCACCGTTATCTCCAGAGGCCTTGGTGACGATGCTGGTGGTCAGGGCTGAGGGACACTCTTTTACAGGACGCCGTGTCACCCTGTGCTCTTTCTGGCCAGTCCTTTCGTGCTGTCATCTAAGATTCGTCTTCCTCCCATGCCTTACCCACTGATGTTCTCTTGGAATCATACTTTTCTGTTTTTAATGCTTTCTTCATATTCAGTGTTAGGACTTCATATACAGTGTTAGAAGTCAACTCTAGGATAACTCCTAAATCTACTCTCCAGACTTGATCCCTGCCTAAGCTTCCATTCTAGACTACCACGTCTAACTCACTATTCTTCATCAGGAGGAATCGGGCTTAGTTTAGAAAGTCGATTGGAAGTGAGAAGGCTGCAGGCAGGAACCCATCATGAGAGCCAACTGACCATAGTAATCTGTGATTCAAGAAGAAATGAAGTAACTCCAACACGTTGCCGAGAAAGGACGCTAGGATTTAGTGACGGGGTAGATGGTGGAGAGAAAAGGGTGGGAGAGTCTGCCATGGCAGGGGTACTGGAAGAACTGGAGCATCAAAGAAAGGGAAAAAGACCCAAGAGGTGTCAGACCAGGAATCAGCCTGTGTCTCAGGCTTTGAGTTGAAAGTAGCTGTTCTCTAGCACTACAAGGCAAGGACAATAGAATGGAACGGAACCCGAGCTTTGATGTTTTTATCAATGGCCTTTATGACCCAATTCACACCACCTCTGAACCCCATCCAACTTTACTGTCCACTCCTCACCATTACAAACTTCCTGTTCCAGTAAGAGAAACCTGCTCACCTGCAATTCATAGCTTCCTCTTCATCCTAACGAATGTCCTCACTTAGAATGAGTCAAAGACCAGCTCGTACATTTCTCTCATTTACTCTAACCCACGAGGCTTGGTTCCTTTGTCTGTCCCCACCAAAACGAATACTGGGTTCCACAGTGCCTTGTGCTTCTTTGTCAACATTTCTTGGGTGTACTACTAGCTTCCCAGTAAGCATTTCCTCAAGGAAAGGGATTGCATCCTGAACCCCATTTCTCTCCTGCACCGTGGTGTGTGTGTGTGTGTGTGTGTGTGTACCTGGATTAGAGCCTGATTTTCCCTTCCTCATGCTACTATGGAGACGCACAGGGGCCAAGGCAGAAGGGGCTGTGGACAGGGGCCCGTGACTCACCAGGTTGTGCCTGATGAGTTCCTGAGCAAAGTCGAAGGAAGAAGAGGCATTGTCCATCAAGCTTTTGAGTTCTGCCTGAGATTGAAACAGAAGTTTATGAACATGACAGAGCTGCACGTGCCTGCGGCCCATTTGCAGAGAACTGAACACGCTATCCGATGGTCGAGACAGGCAGGCTAGAGAAAAAAGCCCAACTACATCCACAGGAGACACTGAAAACAGAAAGTCATAAAGAGGCGGAGAGTAAAAGGATGGTTTCAAAGAAACA